CATTTTTCTCCTCCTCGGTTTGAAAGAGAGGAAGAGAGACAGCTTGGACCCTGGGATGTTAGAGGGAGAAATTCTAGGTGGGAGGAGATGATGGAGTGGCTTTTGGCTGGGCTTTTTCTTGGTAGTCACAGACTGAGCCGATCTTCTCCTCCAAGAGAGACTGTATTTTAGGAGGATGCTGGTGAGCCAAAGAAACCATGCTTCAGCTAGGAAAAGACAGAAGTGGAGCGAACAGAGAAAAGTTCGGGAGGTTTGTGGTGGTGCCCCCTGTCTTCAGAGAAGAAGAAACGAAGATCTCTGTTCTTGGATCCTTGGCCCCAGGGGAAAATGGGGGGGGACTGTGGTCCCAAAAATGAAAAACTGAACTGTTGTTTTTTCCCCTCTTGGCAGGGCATCCTTGAAAGGAAAAAATCCTAAAAGCAGTCTGTCCATCCATGCATTGGTGGTGAGAGCACTGTGCATGGAAAGGAGAGGGTCACCATTGGCAAACTTTTTTCTCCGGGTGGTGCCATGTGTGACATGGAAGCACAGGGTGTGGCAGCTGTGTTTCTTGTGGGGGGTCTGTGGCACAGGAGAGACTCCTCTCTCCCTCGATGGACTGAGAATCAATTGTCTGGAGGGTGGAAACCTGATTGGGGTCCAGGTTGTGTCTCACTGTGGTTTGTTGGAGTTGGGTGGTGGGAGGAGGAATGCTTTGGAAGGTTTTCATTTTGATTTTTGTGTGTGTTTTTTTTTCTTTCTTTTTCCATTTATAGTAGTATAGTAGTAGTAGCTTAATAAAGTTTTTTTTCTTGTTATTAAGCTTGGGCCTGCTTTGCTCTGTTCTCGATTGCATTTCACAGCATTCAATTGATAGGTTGCCTTTTCATGGGGGCGCTGGCATTGTGCCAGTGTCAAACCATGACAAGGGAACACTAAAAGATTATCTACTTTAGGTTCAGGTTCAAAAGTATTATCAAACCACTAATTCAAAGAAAGATATCTGCAGCACATTTCCCAGTTTACTACTTCAGGAATATATTTACAGTCTCCTTTATATCAGCAGATGAGGTGCCTTTCTAAATTTATAATGCATTCACTGAAAAGCTCTCATGAAAGCATAAGTCCTTCTCCCATATCCTCCACCCAAACATTACTCACACAGAAACTTCCTGCATCAACGAGACAGAATAAAGCCCTTCCCAGCCAACTTCCCCAGTCCAGCTGACATATCATTAGACCACATCTCAACATCATGCAGCATGAAAGCTTGTGCTCACTTTTAAGAAAAGACTAGGATAAAGGATTTCAGCTGAAAGGCATCATCAGACCCATTTATTTGATGTTCACCCAGACACTTTTTGTTTTCAAATCTATAACTTTCTCCTGATAAAACACACAGGTATAGCCACCATATGGTCATAAACCAGGCCAAATGTCTTCTATAAGATACTGCTAAGATTTTAATACTCATGTCCTCAAGCCTGTAAGTGATGTCTTCCCTATCTACCTGGGAAACCTGGACATCACCCTTGCTTCTATCATAAATTAAAAAACTGTCAGAGGCCCTCCAAATTGCTTTTGAAATATTTCTGTACAACACCATTTTTCTAGACATCACAGACAGTATCAAAAATATCACAGGGAACACAAAAATGATAGCTTGCAAACCACAGCAGAAAACCTACAGATCAATTACCTTGCTTCCAGGCAAAAAGCATTCATCTAAAACATAAAGAAACACCCACTCCAACATCAGCATATTTCTGTTGATTTTATGGAACATGAGAATTCCTCTGCATCCACCATCATCCACCATGCACAAACCCAAGCTGAAACTGACCTTTTTTCTCAGCCTTGCAAAATGAGGTAGGTGTCAACTCCCTTCTAACATTGCAGAGGGGTATCAGCTACTTCTCTCAGCAGTTTAATGGCACATATCTAATTAAACTCAGAAAAATGTCTTCTGTTTCTAAGCCAGACTAAAAGATTAACTAGTGTGGTTACGGGTCTGTGCAGTTTTTACAACTACAGTTTGGTCTAATAAACTCCAAGGTGTGTTTCAGCAATGCCCCATCATCATCATGCCTGTAATAACAACATGATAATGATATACAAACTCACCCTTTATAGGCTTTCTCACAGATGTCAGTGTGATGTACAGTGAGCAAACAGCCTCACTTTCATAAAGAGCAGTGTTTGCAGGGTGAAGAGGAGCTTCCCTGCTCAAGAGATTGCAAGCAGCTTTTTATCTTTCCTTCTTTTGGCTGCTAAAATTATTTTGTGAACATAGTTAACAAAAAACCCATTGAAAGAGACCAATGATTAATTTCCAAAGACCCTGTTATGTACTATGTCTGTAGAAATACCATTTCCTTACTGGGTTTATAATTATTTCACATGGGCACAATTATAACAATCACACCATATGGCTTCGTCTTTCTCACATGATTCACTAAATTATCATCTCCTGAAGATTTAATATCTTTAATGCTTCCATATCAAGAAAATATTTTTTTCTTTGGTGTAATTTTCAGCACAATCCAGTGAAATCAAGTCCCTACTTTTTTTATAACCAAATTTCTTCCTTCCTATGCCTGCTTCTGTTCTATGACATAAATTGTTTTCCACTGACATTTTCCTGCTTATCTTGAAACCTGTTCATAGAATTGTACGGGAAAGCAAACCTACAACACCTTCCAGACCCTGAAAAACATCAGGCCTCTCCCTCTAAAAGGAGTTAGCATTCAGCAGCCATGCTCCATCCATCACTCCATAAAACCAAGTGCCACTATGCACCAAAGCTGTCTCCAGTAGCTGGGCAGCAGTTATTCCAGCTACTAAGAGGTAGTGTCCTTGCCTACAGTTATCCTGAAGGAAAATCCAGAAACTGTCCATAGTCTGAGAAGACTGAGCATAAACCGCTCTGTGCCATCCTACCTGTGCCTGCCCTTGGCAGAGGGAACAATCAGAAATTACCCATTTGGCTTCTACACTTCTCCTACTTCTGGCAGCAAGGGGCAGAATTGCATCCCAGATCTGTGATGCTCCTTGAACAAGCCATGGAGTATAAACAGAGCCACTGCATCTGAAAGAAACTATGACCTAGGTTTTCCCCACTATTTTCATAGAGGCACTCCTCATGGCTATTCTTTGCAAAGGAACAAGACAAAGAGGGCAAATTACCTCCACCAGAGCAAGCTGTGCTGAATAAATAGGCAGGTTTTAATTATTTTTTTTACCTTAATCATCTTTTTCTAGATGTAACTCTATTTCCACCAAAATACTTCTAAATAGAGTAAGTTTCTACAGTAGAAACTTACTCTAATAAAGTTTACTGTGTAAGCTTATTATTACTATTAGGTAAGGAGAAACTTACACAACCAGAGAAGCTTCTCATCACGTATTGTTTTCTCTTATCTAAACTACAAATATTTATGTCCTAATTGTTTTTTCATTGATTAATCACTTCACCATTGATTCTTCATGCTTTGCTGATGGATGGTTTATTGTATTTCTGGTAAATTATGCCTTATGACAGGAGTTTACCATGCAACACAAACTAAGAAAAAAAAGTTCATGACCTTCCCCATCTATTATGTAATAACTCTGTATCTGCATCATCAAAAAGGCCTTTTATGACCACTCTATGTTACTCACCATTTCAGAGAATTTGTGTTAACTTTCACTTGAACTTGCTTGTTTTATGATTTGATTTTCTTGCCTAAGAAATTCTTAATTTTTGCTGTCAACTCTTATTATGAAAGTAAAATTCACAGGATGCTTTTGATTTTATTTAGCTTAATTTCTCTATTTTTTGCTGCTCATAATTGGTCATTACAGCAATTCAGTTGCAGAGAGGTTCAACAAAAACTGATTTTCCTCTGAAACAAATAGAGGATAGAAACAAGCAAGAAAAACCATCTTCGCTTTCTATGGAATTGAACAAATAGTGGAAAATTCTTTTCAGTAGTACTGAACCCAAAATATGTCTCTTCAAAGCTGATTTAAAAGCAACCTTGAGTTCTTTTGTGTTTAAGATAAGGAATATGGTAATTAGTCATTTAGGTAAATTTTTGGACTTGCATGGTCTCAAAGTATACTAAACACTGGAAGTGATGGACTGAGACCTAAGGATGTGTTGTCAGTGTTACACTGACAATTATGGTGCCAATGCCAACAATCCATGCAAAAAACATTTGCCACTGGATAAAAGGAACCTCTTGCTTTACCACTGCCTCCACCTGTAAAGTAACACACATTATATCAAATTCTAAAAAAAAACCAAAAACAAACAAGTGGCAGAGGTGACAGATGGAATTAAGATTTCACCTATGAACAAGGTATAGATAAAAAATTGTTTTAGCTACCCAAATGCCTCATTGTTAAACAGGTAAAAATGCCTGCACAGAGACATTTAAATAAAAGCCACAGAAATTTAAAAGCCATGTCTAAAAATGCAGAGGCAATTTATGCACCCAGGATTCCTCAAGTTTTGAACATGATAAATTCAAATTGCATTGTTTAGGTGAGCTACTGAACTTGTCTTTTGTTCACATTATTCACATCACTGAAACATCCCTTTAAAGAAATAAAGGCAACATTAGCAGTTATCTTGATTCAAAAGGCTTCCAACCCTGAATATTTGAGAATGCTATGGGATGTGACAAGTTTCTGTATTGCTCTCAGGAACTTTTACTGTGCAAAGACTAAAATTACGGGGTTTACTTGGGATATTATTTGCACTGCCTCTGGAAATAGTGCCTCAGTTGTCAATTATGGTAAGATCTCTCTCCTGCTTTCTTGCTAGTTCCATTTTGCTGTGCGTAGGACCCAGTGCTATCACTCTCACCAGCCAGGGAATTTATTAGCAAACCACTGGGATCCTTCTGCCTCAGGATGTCTGTTGCCTGATTGCTATTTTTGCAATTTTAGAAAACAGCTGTGACTGAAAAACTGTGAGGAGATGTAAAATGCCAATTCTGTTTCAAAGCATCATAAGAGAAAGTGCTGATACTCACCAAACTATTCCCTGAGCCCCAGAGCCAATAGGTTTCAAGTTCTGGTAGCGTTTGAGGACTGTGAAGGTCGAGTCACCTACTTCCACACTGTAGAACTGGTTGTCGACTTTGCTTTTGCTCATGTTGTAATGTTTGGCAATATATGACACATCCACTTGTTTCCCAAATCCCTGTTGTACAGAAGAAAAGGGGAGAGGGGTTGGTAAAAATAGAGAAACCAAGGCTGGTAGAACATTAGAATACTGATAAAGCACTGTCAGCCTAATTTTTCAATATAAATTCTTGTCATTTTTGCCCTATTTTCATAAAGACTGTATCAAATCTTCTTTCATGCTGGAAGTCACCATAAAAAGGCACTGATTAAAGAAAACCAGTGAATTCTCCAGCTGATGTTTGTGACATAGTTACTGCCAACTATTAGTCTCTGCCTGCCATCACTCCTGCCTCATGACTACTGGATTATGTTCTCATGTTAATTCTGCCCTCGTTTGTTTTGCAATTAATTTAAAATAAGATGACTTTCATCAGTGTGGAAGTGGGATGAGAGACACAGGAATCAGGCTCTTCATTATGGATCAGACAGAGCAAGCAAATGTATTCCCATGAGTGCTAAAACTTTCCCTGAGCACGTAATAAAGGCCTTGAGAACCTGTCAACAGGTTTGTTTCTTTTGAAACAGAGAAGTTAATGGGACAAGCTGTGACCCAACATGGCTCAGTATCGTAGAGATCTATTCCGAAGCTCCGGAGGTCTTCAGGAGTTCTGGGTTCCTAAGGATAAGAGGGAGAGTTGCTCTCATGACTTATCAAATGCAGCAAACACCAATTTTCATAACACAAAACCAAGCACTGTAGCTAGCACAGCACAGCATTGTTCCTCCCCAAAATTAAAATGAAAAACCAATAATTTTTGCAAGACTTAAAAGACCCTCCCTCAAATTTGTAAAATTACCATGCAGCAAGTCACCTTATAACCCCTTTATGACTACTGCTGAGCTCAGTTCCCTATGGACTACAGAGCAAATTTATAGCAATTTGAGATAAAAATCAGAACTAGGTGCTTGTAATTTAGGATTCTATAGTACATGATGATGAGCACAGGATCCAAAAGCTCAACATATTACAACATATCTGCCCTAAAAGAGTTCACTTATGGAAGTCAAGATGTGCTCAAATGCCTTCCATAAAGCAAAAACAAAAACCAGCTATGCCTCTATGTTTTTTTTTTCAGTGCTACCAAACACAGCTTATAAATTTTCTTATTTGCTCTATTATAAATTTCTTTCCCCCAAAAAAACCTTAATGATCAAATGCATTATGTGTTTATGGATTACTATGTTGAAATTTGATGGAACTGTGAAAAAAGTAAAGTTGACTTTGATTACATTACTCATTCAATTAAAAAGGACATCATTCCAGTGTTCCAAAAATCTGGCCATTAAAAACAGATTACTGACCTTACAAAGAACTTGGATTTTAAGGTTTGCCTTGGAAAAATCATTATTATTTTTCTGTCCATTATCTGACTGGAAGGCCCTTTGGCACTGGACAGCATCATACTAAACACCCCATTTATAGACTTTGAAACATTTTAATAAAGCTCTCCATTCAAACACAAAGTCTCATCTCAGAAAACCAAGTGGTAACTTTACATTAACTTGTTCATCAAACATTGTGAGGGGGAGAGCAGGGGAGGCCTTGCCCTAACACAAAAGTGAGAGGTTTACGGACACTGACACAGCACTAAATTGAAGTTTCCAGATAGTGAAATTATTCTAAAAGAGGTTTGAATTTTTCTCATCGGAAGACAAACAGGCTGCATCTCATTCACACTGTGTAGCCTTAGTCTTAAAACATCTTCCATTCTGTGAAAAGAGATGCATAAATTTGGCTATTCAGCTCAGGTATTCATACCAGACCTGCGACTGGGAGGTTTTTTTGGGTTTTTTTTAATAACATGCTCCTGTTTGACAGGAATTTCACAGCTCCCTCTGGCTAGACAAACATATTTGGAGGATGTTTTTTCCTGATGTCATTATCACAACAATGCAGGACATATTCAGCCTTAACACCCATTACTCTGAAACCAATGTTTATGCATAAAGTGTCAGCATAAAAATTGCATTCTTGAGTGAGCCTGACTCATATCCAGCTCCTCTGGAAGTACAGACAGAGTGAATTTTTTAAACAAATTGGATGAATGTGTTAAGGTTTGGATGAGCCAGGTCTGCCACAATGTGTTTGTGTCCTCACTCCCAAGCTACCTGACAGCATCTTGTGTGGCATGGAGCTACATGGGAGAACATATTTTATCACTTTATGTGCAGAATAAAAATTACTTGCTTTTAAGTTATCCTGGCCGTGTGAATTACTAGCCTTGGGAAATTCAAGCTGCATACAGTGGGGCTTCTGAACTGCTGCGGTTCCAGCAGCTGGTTCTTTTAAATCCAGAAATGTCTTACAAATCAATCAAAACAGATGAGAAGAACCACTCTGTAGTACCTCAGTTCTATGGGTAATTAACATATCCAATTACTTCAGTCAACAGCAATTAAAGTTGTGGACCCAGAAGACCACAACTGATAAGAGAATGCAAGATGCCCTGATGAGCTGCTCTCCTCTGCACAACACAGACCATTCCTATGACAATCTGCTCCTAACTGTGTGTGAGAGGGAAAGGTAAAGACTGTTTTATTTTTCATGAAATAATTTTTTCTTTTTAGAGTAGTATCTTTTTCCCTACTTATAAATTTGTACCCCATAAGATATTTTGCAAGCATTACTTGTAAAATTCAAGGCAAGCTGATTTAGTTTGAAGTTTACTTCAAGCAGAATGCCTCCTCTGAGTGACAACAATCTCAGCTTTGTGGACAGGCCAAAGTCTAAGTTGCCTCCTCTCTCTAAACCCACACTGCTACAAAACTACAAAAAAAAAAAAAAAAAAACAAAAAAAACAAACAAAAAAAAAAAAAACAACCCTGCTCTATATTTTCCAGTTTTTACCAAAGCCTCAACAAGCAAAACAAAAGCATAGTAAGGTTACTAACGCCCAATGCACTGCTTACTTACATAACAGGAGATGGATGATATAACTATCCTTGTTATGATGCTGACTTAAATCAAATCCCTAAGTCAATGAATTAACAGCATTATTGGATTAATCACATTTGATCACATCCCCAAGCCAAGCTGACACATAATCAAGAATAATCTCTGGTTGATTCAGCAGCCACTTCCTATTGAGAGCAAGGAAATGGCAGTTTTATTTCACTCCAAAATTAAGATAATTTTTTTCCCTTTAGCAAGGAAATTCATACTCTTTACAGAGCATGTCAATGTTAGTTTTAGTTTCAAACCCAGATGAAAATGTTCTTTTCCCAATCTTCAGATTCACATAGCTCATCTTAAAGAAGCCTACACACTACATTTTGCTCTTCTCCTGTTACATCCTCAGTGCTCGTTTAAACCCTTTCCAGAAGCCTTGGTGTTGTTACAGATATTGATATTCCGCCAGATGCCCCTCTGTACACCACTCAGCTATTTCAGATTCAGGTTTTACTGCACAATCTTTACAGCACCTGCACAGGCAGATTAAGTTAAAGCTTTGATTATGTGGCATCAGAAAGGAACCCAGAGCTAGGAATTTCCAGTATACACCCTTCTGTAGATGCACCTAACCATAAACTCCTTCATATGATTGAGGCTAACATCATAAGAAACCAGGAATTAGTACTTCATTAAGAAATACATGGGGGAAGGAAGTTTATAGATACACTTGCAATCAGGATATCACAGTAAAAATGTATAGGTCTCATACAGTAAAGTGAATTCCAGTGAGTTAATACATTTCCAGGTGAACTGCAAATGAACTTGGGAAAGCTACAATGCTGAGGCCCCACAACAACAGTAAACATTGAAGCTGTGAAACTTCGAACAAAATATATCTAAGTTTGTCAGACCTCTGTGTAAGATGAAAGATTATTCCTCAGAGACAAAGTATGCATGGAAAAGCAATTTGTTCTCAGTTTCCATAAACATTTGGACAATGAAATTACATTACTTCAACACTGAGAGGAACTTAGCTTTCATTTCATACATACAAAAATGTATAAACCATTACTTTCTCCTTTCAGTACTTAATTGAAAACTTCTAATGCACACACACATTCCCCAATACCATTCTCTTTCCTCCATACTGAGAAATTTAAGAGTAAGAGAAGTGAAAGTTTCTCAGCCCTGAAAACCTAACTATTCTTGTTAGCGCACTTGAGCACATAGCCATACTTGCAATGATGTTTGCTTAGTAACCTGACAAGTGAGAAAGAGAAAAGAAAATAAACTGTCAAGACTCAAGCATTTGAGATGAAGGAAAAAGATACTCTCACCATTGTTAATTGTTTAGAGAGCACATATTTTGCTTTCAAAGGACAAGTATTTAAAACTTCAGTGGAACTTAAATAACTGACTGCCTCACACAGAGCTACAAACTGTATTCTTTTCTTTTCTTTCAGAGTACAGAGAGGAAAAGAGTTAAAACCCCAACAGAAATAAAATTTTGTTATTTTCTATATTGTAAGGTGAATTGCTTCCTGATATCCCATTTAATTTGTCCATTTCTATCCTACAACATAACTATATTTATCATATTTTACTGACAGACCTTTGTTTCTGAACACCATTCCTTCTATTATTGATGAGCCTAAAATACAGCAATGTCTTGCAGCTCAGCATCTCATACATTTCAGCTTTTATAAATACAAACCATGCTAGCAGCAATTTAAGGTAAATTGCTCTCCCTTGCATCTCCAAGACAGTGAGCACTGTCACAGATTCTGCTGGCAGCATCAGCAGAAGGGAAACTTTACCTCAGTGTTCATATCCTTCCCTGTGTGCCCACAGAAATCCTGGCAGGAAAACCCGTTCAAGGGTGCCATGATGCAAGGCTACTGAAATCAATTAAAGCTCTCCACGTGTGTGTAAATGTGTGTGAATGCTGGTGAGTGAAAGAATCAGATGGAAGACTGAGAGGCTGATTCCCAATTCGCAGCTGGCACGGAGCCCAGAGATGAGCAGGATGGAGCAGAGAGGATGCTTGGAGCCAGACACCATGATGGCTCCCCAGCGGCCCCCACATCCACCCAGCCTCAGACAAAAGGCTGGTGTGGACCACAGCTCATTTCAGAGGTGGATGCCTTTGAATCCCTCAGGATACAAAAGGATCATATCTTAAAACTACAATTTAACCTTGAAAGTCAAATGCTGAGGCTGTAGAGACTGACATTCATGAGTATGGTAAAACCTCAGGCTTCTGGCCAGCTCTGAAAATGTGCATAGAGGCAAGCCCTGCTCACCTGGGTGCATCTGCTCAGCCAACAGCACTATGAATTTAATGGCTGTCCTCCCATTTGCATAGCTCTAATTCTCACAGAAGTTTCAAATGACAGATTTCTGGCATGAACATGAATTTGTGAGCCCTCTGCTTCAATTTTAATGGCCACAGGTTTTGCTGTGTAAATTTGAATGGCCACAGAAGCTTTCACTTGGGAAATATAGAGTGTCTTTGGATAGAAAGATCTACTAAATTATTTTAAATTGTGAATTTTATATATGACACATCTATGGCAGAAATTTTATCTATTTTTTTCTCTCCATAAAGCCAGACTTCTCACTTATTCTGGCTCTTCCTGAACTCAAAAGTCCATAAACATTGATCTAATCGCCTACACAGGGTTTCATCTTGTGCGTGTGTGGTTGGATGTAACATTACAGATTTTGGTCTTTCCAGTTACATCACACCACAGTTCTCCATTCTTCCACCTCATTCTCATCCTGTGAGGTTTATATTAGTCATCCAGTCTTTCTGATTTTAGTGTGTTTTGAGTGGGATTTAAAAGCTAATTTCTGGCCTTCTTTTAATCTCTCTCCAGCTGCCTTGCCCCCCCAGACAGGGGGCTTTCTGCACTCAGCCTTTCAAGTAGACAACAGACCCCTGCAAACAACTCAGCCTTGATTGATCAGTGACTGATCTTTTTACATTTGCTTTATTCATTCTATTTCAACACATCATCTTAAAGCATTTTATTAAATGTAACACAATGTTTCTAAGTGCTGGTTGGGTTTTTTTGGTTTTGTTTTTTTTGGTTTTTTTTTTTGTTGTTGTTGTTGTTGTTGTTAGGTTGGAGGTTCTTTTATAGTTGTTGTTTTTTATTTATTTGTTTAAACACTCTGTCCTTGTTTAACCTCTTCTGAGATACTGAAAACCCATCAGCTTACCTAGCCCTTACCTATCTGATTACACACAAAACAACAAATCAGCCTTCTCCTTTTCAATTGTATCTACTCAACACATGAAGCAAGCACTATTTACTTATTTCTCTTGTCCTCCACATGTTCACTGAGCTCTTGGTACTTTAATTCCTTCCTTCCTACAGGCACCTGATTTTCATAGCTCATTTATAACTGTGGTATCATGTATTGCTCAGAAGTCACTGTGTCCCAGAGTGTGTCCTTCATTCCAGGCCAGATTCCTACAGATGAGCAATCTGTGAGTATCTGAACAAGAAAACACTACTTCAAATGATTCCTCCTCCCCCTGATGCCTGAAGAGCTCAATGCTGACACACAGGTGACATCCAGCCCTGGCCATCACACCAAAGAAGGTTGAAAGGACTGATCAAGAAAGATGAAAGAAAAGGTTCCTTGAGACTGAGGTTTCTTTAGGAAGAGGAAATAAATAAATAAATCAGTGATCCAAGTGCAAAATGTAGCCAAAGATACAGGAGAGAAAGCAGATTTCTCAATAAAACTATATAATTACAGTATGTGATGTGAAGGCAATAGCTAATGAAAGGATTCTCCCTTTTACAAATAAAAAATGTATGGAGCTAAGTAATCACACTTTAGCTAGAAATAGACAGCTCCTGACTCTATGAAGTATCATTTTATTCATAAAAATCTAATATATCAATTATTGATAACTTTTGAATACCAACGAATCTCCCCTTGGATAGAAGACATAATCACAGGACACACTACATTTAGAATTGCATTCTAAATAAAGGCATCACCTATACCTACATTTTAGGGAACATGTAAATTCTGACAGGCTACACATCTCAATATTTATTTTAAAAAAAGATACTTAAAAAAACCAAATGGAGAAAATATGGATGAAGAAGTCACTATTCTTTTGGAACTGTTAGATGTTGTTAATATATAAGTATTAAAATTTAGTGTCTCAGTCTACTCATGATACACTACTCTGCATTACCTTGTGCTACAATAAAAATGTGTAGGGTCCTATAGATAAAAGCTTGTTGGTGATAACAGCCTTACAGAAGTCTAATGAAATTCTATAGGCCTTTTTTGTCCTACTTTTCTATTATTATAGAAAAGAAGATGTCCTCATCCTCAGCCTTAAAAAAAGGTGGCTGCTTCAGAACATGAATTGGCTACCCATGTCCAGTAATTCCAGACCTGAGTGTTTTTACACTGCAAAAGTGTGAAGAGGTGGGGAGGTACATAATTACCCTACTTATGCTACTGAATATTTCTCAGGAAGGGCCATTCTTTTTTTTTCCTAAGCTGAAAATCCTTAAAATTCTATTCCTGCTGAATTAGCAGTTCATTGTACAAAACTAGTATGCTCAGTGACATAAGCTCTATGTCAAAGAAAACAGCCTGTAATTATGAATGTGTCACTTTCCTTCAGAGCACATAAAGCTATGCCTTTCAGGCCACAAATATATATTACAGGAAAAATACACCCTCAGTACTAAAATAATTTGGGTTCTCTTCAATATTGCAGCTTTAAGAAAGGCACTTCAGCACAAACACTTTGGAGAAAGCCTGCAGTGAGGCATAAATTTAAAATGGAAGCAGGAATAAGAATGGAATTACCAATATTACCACCTGGATACTATCCCTAACCTCTAAACAAAGATCTGGATGCTTGGACCAAGGGCAGAGATATAACCCCCATCCCACTGTGAACAATACAAATGAACAGCATCCAAGACAGGCCTTAATGCAACCAGACACTTAATTTAGAGACTGTTCTTGCTCATAGTCACAGCTGTTATTTGGATCAAGGCCTATCTTTATGGAGCGAATAAATTAACACGCAGCTTAAACCACTTTTTATCCTCAAGAGAATTGATCTGAAGGTCTGAAGACCTTGAAAAGGTATCCATGTGGTAAGTGCTTGAAGGATGGAATTCTGTTCCCGACAGTGTCAGGATAGTATGTATTTAGTGGGTGACGCCATTCTGGGTACATGCTGCAGCCATCAAACAGGAATTAATCTCACTCAGTGATAAAAATGTATCCAAAATGGTCTAAGTAAAAAGGAGAGGACAGCTATGCAAAAAACCTCTATTCTGCACAGTGAAAGTATTTTTTTATCAATAACACTTTTCTCATATAATCTGAGAAAAAAAAATTGCAATTTCTGCAATTTTTTTTTTTTGGAAGCAAACTCTGTCAAAACATTACAAAAAATACTACGTTTGACAAAGTTGCAAGTGGAACAATTAAGCCAGTTAAACACAAGCATATAAATAAAATAGAAAAGACAGTTAAGCAGATTATCAAACTGAATAGTCAAAATCCATCCCAGAGCTGATGATTCCTAAGTCCAGATTCAACCTTCTCAGGAGAATTAATATTTAGTGTCTCTGAGTTAAAAAACATAAAGCAAACTTTCTAACACCTGTCACTGTCGAATGTTAAATGCTTATACACAAGTAACAGCCCTTTCTTTTTTACAACTGTGCTTTCACTTGGACTCCACATGTAATATAAAAGAAAAAAATGTGTTTATCATAAATTAATTTCTAAGAATGCAACATTGGTTTCAGCCTCAAGAAGTGAAGAATTTCCCTAATATCTCCCCAGTTAGTTAGATTACTGATGTCCCATCTCACAAAAGACCTTTAAAACTATGAAGAGACAGAATTCAGACACAAAAAACTGTTCAGAAGTGAGCAAGAAAAAGTAATCTTTCATTCACAAGGGAAAATTATGCCCATAGATTTGCAACTAAGTATGTTAACTAAACCAAGAGAAACAAAAACTGGATAAATCAAAAAGCTTTTTCTTTGCATCAAAGATCTAGTTTCACCTTTGTGGGCTTCCATATATTGTGACCAAGCAATTTCAAGGATGATGTAGAAATACAGAATTGACTTTAGTGCAGCCTCATGGTTCCAGAACCTCAATACCACATGATGCTCAACAGGAGACAAGACAAACATCGCGATTTTAATTACACTTCCTTCAGTTCCAGAATAGGTAAACAGAAAATTAGTCACAGGTTACAATGTAAAAGGCTCTGTCTCAGAAGAACAGAGAATAAGATAAAACAGTTTTAATTTGCAGTTTTTCTCTTTGAATATTGTGCCATTATTTTTCACTAAAAAAACCTCAGAATATTAACTGATACTTTATCAAAACAAATTCAAAAATCATTAAGACCAAATTACAAAATAAACTTGAGGGCAAATAGAAAAGTAATTTTTTGTGGTGTGTTTCTCTATTTTCTTTGTATTTATTCTCATGTTTATAACTTGCAGTAAGCTGCTGAAACTCACTTCTATTTTTCTCTTATTATAGCATGAATTGCAAAAATGAAGTACAAGTATATACTGTACCTTGTTTTACCTGTAAGGAACACACACCTGACAAAAGGCAATCTTCACATCCAGAGTAGGTTCACCAAAATAATACAGGAAATGGCGGCTCATAAATACCTGCAATTAAAGAAAAGTAAACATAGAATTTTTGTCTGCTGATAATGTACAAGTATAATGCAGCTCTAGCTTCATTTGGATTATAAAACCAACCTGTGTTGTCACCCAGCTTGTCAAAACCAGAAATTGAGTATTGAACTGTAAAAAAGCTTTAAATTCTGTCTAATGCCTGTCAAGGTTATTGCCCCAAATATGACTTGAAAAACTTACATCTGGAAAATTTTACAGTAACTGGTGCCATTAATTCAAAGTTTATCATGTCAGTTGCCTATTTCTACACCAAAAACAAAAACAAAATCAGATCAATAATGTTCTAAACAATGTGGGAATAGGAGACAATTATTGTTATGGCAAGAAAAAAAAGACCTAAGTTGACAAGTATTAGTTATAGAAGTGGAAAAGCTCATTACATCACTGTGTAGATTCATCCACTTTGTGAGCATCCCATGTAGTTCTTGTTCTGGTCTTAACATTCTACCACTAGAAAAGCACAAAGAGATTCCTTACATAAAACAAGTGCACAGACTGGAGTTTTGTGGGGTTTTTTAGCCTAGAAAAGAACTGTCTAAGCAGAAATATGCTGGAGATACATAAAATGAGGGCCATACTGAAATGTGAAAAGGAAAACACCCTTCCTTTTTTTTTTTTTTTTTGAAATTAAAAAAAAAGGGCACCAAGTTATGTTATCAGAGTTAAAATCAACAATAGGAAATATTCTTCATACACTGTTTTGTATGAAGAATTTGTCGCAGTGAAACTCTCTGTCTCATGTTGCTGTGGAAGCCAGAAGTCAACATAAGTACTATTATGATTAGGGAAATTCACATAAGAAGAAATCTGATGAAGGCTATTAACCTTGAAAATATCACCCCTGACTCAAGACACCCCTGAGTCACTGTCTGCCACTCCATGCTCCGCCTATTTCTGGATTTCCCAGTCATCTGATGCTGGCCCAGGGAGCCACAGGCTAGACTAGACAGGCCTCGCTGTGCACCCCATTACAGCTGTTTTAATTTAGTTCCACTGCACCACATCCAGCTCTGCCTAACCAGTCCTGTCCTAGCTAAATTCTAGCATGGCACATCAGTGACAAACATGCACAGCAATGAGGCTGTCAGGCTGGGATAGGCAGCTATGTCACAAGACTTTGGAGCATGTGACTCTAAAAAACCACAAAAAAACCAGCCAAACTCACAAAACAACAACAAAAACCTGCTAACAGAACAATCAAAAAACTAGCAACTTTTAGCTAAAATTAGATACATTATATAGAACTTAATGCTTTTCTGTTACATATAAGCTCATTGTAAAGACTTAAAAATGAAAACAAAACAACCATTCCACCATCACTCCCTAAAGACAAAGCTATGATTCTGAAACACTATGTAACTACTCATGGCTCTTGTCTTCAGTAGGAACAACTAACTAACTTCAAGTCTAAATGGCACTAAATAAGACAAGACCTAATTTGGAGTAATTTCAACTCACACCAATTGATCAGAAGTAAAGAAACTACAAGAAAGGATTTATCTATACTTGCAAACTTCAATGCACCATGTGTTCCCACATGTGTTTAATTTTTAATGAATTAATATATGAATAATCCTGTTATGAAAGCAAGTTTATGACCTTTTCTGCATCACATTACAGCGTCTGAGATTGCTGTCTCACTGCCCACTGAGTCATTACCAAAGTCTCATATTCCACAGAGGGTTTATAACAGTTTATATTAAAACAAAAAATAAGAAAGGAAGTTTTTTTAAAAAGAAAAAAAAAATAAGAAGAAGGAAAAAAACCTTTTACCATTAGTCATATTGCCAGTGATTTCTGGAAAGCCAGCAGGTAATTACACTGTCATGCTGCAGATATATTCCCTGGCTGTATGCACTACATTGCTATAATAATCAATGACTGAAATGTCAATAGCTATGACATACCATGTTCAAGACAGAGCTTAATGGTGGAAAATGAAGACAGGAAGAAAACTGGGGGAATTTGGTTTATTCCTGAATTTGCTGTGCGGGTCTATTGAGAAGATATACTTTGTATTATGCATGCATTACTAGTCATACCCTGCTCCTCAGCTGTCCACAGGAATTACTGGGACTGTTAATAGTCACCCTGGGCAGAAGAATAGACTGGTGAGATTTATGAACTGGAATACATTTTAGAATTTATGATGTTGTCCTTGTGGGCAGTTAATGCTCATAAAATAATAGAAGTATGATATGTTTTAATGGCCTTGATCAATACTCATATTCCTCTGTACATGAGATACACCAAAATAATCACTACGGAGCTGAGTTCTTCCAGTTGTACAATGGGAATGAATGCCACCTTTCCATGGCACAGAAAGGTGTACCCAGGACAAAACAGACTTGAGTTCATGTTTTAAAATGTTTATTGAATTCGTACAAGGTTCCCTTTGGTGCCCTGTAAGTGATCACACATGTATGTAACTTCTAATTCCTTCAGGCAGAAAACAGATTCACACTTAGCTGTGCAGATCTTCAAATATCTTATCAAACTGGTCTTCACTTCAGAGACCAAATCTTTAGGCTTATCAGCTTTTTTTGTCTAACTTCTTTCTTTCAGATCTAATGTACAGCACTGTAATAGGAGACCCACTGCTTAACAAGAAGCTTAAAGACACCTCAGAGGGTAAATATGAACTGAAATTTGCAAGTGGATTAATAATAGTCAAGGAGAGTGCTACTCCTGCAAAAGAGTGCTTTTCTGTTGTGTCTACTCTCCCATTTTAATTATTCTTGGAATAACCAGGGAAAGAGTGGTGTGAACAATGTAATTATTAAGATTATATCCCAGCAGAAACAGATCATCTTCCACTGGGAAGAGAAGTGATGGCTTGTTAAAATTCACAAGAATCATCCAAGTAGCTCGAAAACAGCTGCTGGAAAAGAGAGTGAAAATGAAAGAAACAATTTTGGAATAGCACTGAAAAAGAAGTATATATCAAACAAAAAGGCACAAACTGAAAAGAAAAGGGACTGATAAGCAGATATTCATAATGAGCACAGCTCAGTTGCAGAAGACAGGAACAAATGAGCTCTAAATCTGGTCTTGCTACCAGCTTCTTGTTTTTTTCTCCAGCCAGTTATTATGAGAGAGAATTTCTCACCTGACTATATTTGGTCTAAATGCCCAAGTTATACAGCCCAAGATACCACATCCAGAGGTAATGTTATGTCCAGAGGTACTGTTATGAAAGGTATTATGAGGAAAAGATGCTGCAGCAGATTAATTAGGCAAAGTTTATGATGATCTTGTCATAATCTCTCCTATAATTTTTTCATTTGCAGCTTAATATCTTCACTCCCTGAATAAATACTAGCCACTTCCTAGAGATGTAAAATTAAACTTTGACGTTGGAAGCAGCTCTGAATTTGCATAGGATGAACCTGGAGTGGCAAGTGTGTGAGACTGTGGCTACTACTGTTAACAAAAAAAAAAGCAAAAAAGTTAACTGGAAAGGGATGAGCACAGTAAAACACTGCCTGCCTCATATAAGATAATCTTTATCACAATAGTGAAAGCAATTTTTTTTGGTATGCATTTTTCCTGTTTTGGCACTTGATTTTAATCTGCTTTCTCTTTCCGAGGAAATAAAAAATTGAGGTAGCTGTCTCAGCACAGCTGAATGAAAAATTCTGCTCTCTCAGAACTTTGTTTTTCTCTATTAAAAAATAAAATCAATATAAAGCTATTCCTTCAATAAATGTCAGTGGAAAAGCTGCTTGAAGGTATATACTGAATCACATCAAAACTATTTTTAATAAACTCCCAAGTCAACCTCCAAACATAATTCAAATTCAGTTACATTTGCCTTCAATACAGATGTCCCTGTCACTTTATGATAGGTGAATGACCTATATTTTATGGGCTACAAAGAGAAAAATACTTGATTACTGTCTGTATCAAGCAGCATCAAAAAAATTATTAGATTTGAATAGAACATATATTTTAAGTTTGAATAGTTTGGAATAATTTCAGATTAGTTGAACTGTATGGCATTGGATCTCATTCTTACAAACTTCTCTGTTACACATGTTAACCACCCCATTAATGAAGGGTGCTTGTAAAAAGAATTAATATTCCAGCCAAAAGCAAAATTCTAACTTTGGGACAAATGTATAAAAGACCAGGGCATTTAGATCCTGTTATAGATCCTGTTTCAGGGTGCCTTAGTTATGTGGCGCTGCAGTAAACAGCAGTTTCTGTCAGTTTCATTCAAATTAGGGGAAAAATTGACAGGTTTGGTCACTCAAGAGGAAAAAAAATTGTAACCAAAATAATATTTAGCCATGCTTTTACTTATTTGATAAAAATGTGATTACATTCTACCAATGCTCATCTTTTCTGTATCAAAGTATGCATGATGGAGATAGGAAAAGCTGTTCAGGACTGTGGAATAACTTGCTCAGCTGCAACATCTGTATTTATCATCACAACTTTAAAAGGGCTGTGTAATTGGCCACTGAACAGAGCCAGCTAATTCACACCTCAAGGTTATTCAGGAACAGAGCCAAAAAAACCACTCACCTTGGAAGGGACCTTAGGACACCTATAATCCAAACTTTCTAATCAAAACAAGGACAGTTGCTTCATTTATTTGCTAAATTGGAATGCTCAATCCCTGCCTTGGTTTGTATTTACATATTTGTACATACATATTGTATTTACATGTAGTTGTGTGGCTGCATACAGTAGCCACACAACTAAAACCACTCGTACTCTAAAAAATGTAAGAAGCTTAGTTATGGAGTAAAAGACTGGAGCCATGAGCAGATTGCACTGTAAATTCTGCAGCTACAAAACAGCTTATTTCTCAAACAACTAAAATACAGATTCATTTGCTTCTGAAAAGGTTTTCCCCACTCTAAGCTTTAATAGTTGCAAATTTTAATTACTTCCATAACTAAACACTACTAAAACAACTCATCTCCAGGATGCAAGCCGGATTTATTGCAAAATCTCTGCAA